TTTTTTGGGGTGGGTCCGAAGAAGTGACGTTAATGGCTTAATTAGTATCAATTAATACTAAAATTATTAATTAGTATCAATTAATGGCTTAATTAGTCTCAATTAATACTAAAATTGTTAATTAGTATGAATTAATATTAATAATTAATTTTTATTAGTATCAATTAATATTAACAATCAACAATTGTTATTAATTAGTATCAATTAATAATTAATTCATTACAAAAGTATACAATATTAATTTAATAATAATTAATACCAATTAATATTGATTTTTTTCAATTAATATTTATTTTTTTCTTTTTCTTCAGAAGAAATATATAATTTTTTATTTTTTAATTAATATAAAAATATACAATATGAATTTATTAATAATTAATACCAATTAATATTTATTTTTAATACCAATTAATATTTATTTTTAATACCAATTAATATTTATTTTTAATACCAATTAATATTTATTTTTAATACCAATTAATATTTATTTTTAATACCAATTAATATTTATTTTTAATACCAATTAATATTTATTTTTAATACCAATTAATATTTATTTTTTAATTAATATTGATTTTTTTCTTTTTCTTCAGAAATATATAATTTTTTATTTTTTAATTAATATAAAAATATACAATATGAATTTATTAATAATTAATACCAATTAATATTTATTTTTAATACCAATTAATATTTATTTTTAATACCAATTAATATTTATTTTTAATACCAATTAATATTTATTTTTAATACCAATTAATATTTATTTTTAATACCAATTAATATTTATTTTTAATACCAATTAATATTTATTTTTAATACCAATTAATATTTATTTTTTAATTAATATTGATTTTTTTCTTTTTCTTCAGAAATATATAATTTTTTATTTTTTAATTAATATAAAAATATACAATATGAATTTATTAATAATTAATACCAATTAATATTTATTTTTAATACCAATTAATATTTATTTTTAATACCAATTAATATTTATTTTTAATACCAATTAATATTTATTTTTAATACCAATTAATATTTATTTTTAATACCAATTAATATTTATTTTTAATACCAATTAATATTTATTTTTAATACCAATTAATATTTATTTTTTAATTAATATTGATTTTTTTCTTTTTCTTCAGAAATATATAATTTTTTATTTTTTAATTAATATAAAAATATACAATATGAATTTATTAATAATTAATACCAATTAATATTTATTTTTTAATTAATATTGATTTTTTTCTTTTTCTTCAGAAATATAAAATTTTTTCTTTTATAATTAATATTAATATTAATTAATATTAATATTTGGGTATTGACGATGGCATTTAAGTAATTTTAGCCCCTCACACCAGCTGCGTGCTTAAGTAAAAAATTTAAGCACCCCCTGATCAGCTTTTGAGATAAGCTGAGAAATAGCTTGATTTAAAAACTGGTTAACTTAAGCTGCACCAAACATAATATTTTGGCTTAAATTAAGCTAAAAGCTGAAATAAGCAGCTTATAAACTCTACCAAACAGGCCTATTAATGAAGACAAACACCCAACAAAGTAAAAGACTGTTGAATGATAATAAAGCATGTGGTACCACAATGCACTGAAAGTTTCAAAACTTTTGTTCACAATATTCCACTATTTTGACGTGTGAACATATTTGAAATTGTTTTTTGACTGCTCGGTGAGGTTCCACCAATCATTTCTAAAGCAACTCTGAGCCAGTATCAAAAGGAAGATGAAGGAATGTGGTATAGTGAGGACATGAGCACTCCCAGAGCATAAAAGATAAAGGGCAGTTAATAAATAGACACGAACACAAACAACCTAAAAATAGATTGGCTTTTTCCCTTCACTTTTAGAGCATCTGATATAAAACAGTAAAACTCTAATTCCAAAATTTGATTTTGTTCTTCTCCAGATGTACTGCATTCATTAGCCTATTCATTTTGTCTCATCTTTAATTTTACATTCTTTCCGTTTTTTGCTTATAATTTTCCCCATTTAGAAACCCATATAACATTTTATTTAGTTTAAATTCACCCTTTCCCATGTCCTTACAGAGAGAAAATTTACAGAAGATAAAGGAACATATTTTCTGATTTGCAGTGTTAAGGGATAAAAAGGTACCACATTTGCAACCTAGATCACCAGAAACATTATGTTCCCCAATACACTTGGTGGTATTAAACCATTCCACCGAAATATCACCAAGTAAATGTGCCCGCAAATCTCACAATCAATAAGATACAAGGTGGTAATGCAAGCTTCTATATTCGGACTCTTCTATAAAATACATCAATGACTTACTACATCATTGATCAACAAGAGCAGTTGGGAATCGGTGTGCTGGCTGATAAATCTCTTTCCAGGTTCTCTCTATCTGCCTTTCCTGGGTCCTGAAGTTCATTCTAGTCAGGCAAAGATGCAGGTTGAAGGAGGGTTGAACAAAGAGTCTACTCAAGCGGCAATGTTCGATTAATTATGAGGGAAAAAAGGAACGTGAGGGTTTAATGGAACGGTGTGGCAGAAGAAATCTGTTCGTGCATTTTTTATCTTCATGGAAGAGTTCAAGAGGAGTTTAAGGAAAAGTATCCAGACATAAAATTTGTTGTTATTTGAAAGGCTGGAGGAGATAAATTTGAATCAATGACAGAAGGTAAGAAAATATTTTATGCTTAGTTGGCACATGTTTGGAGTTTATTTGCTGGTCTGGTAGCAGATTTCTTTTGGATTGTATTTGGGGCATGTGGTTTTATAATGTTGCTCACAAAAAATATATTGTTTTCAAGAAGCAGATGTTGCATCTAAAAGAGTGAGTACTGTGGAACATAGTTATAAGCTCACTAATTTGTAGAAGAATACAGAGAAAAGTACCGAAAAGGGGGAAAAAGAAAAAGAAAGAAAGAACCAACAACTGGAATTCTATTAGCTATTCGTGTAACTATGTAACTTTTTCAAGGCCGCGAAGAAAATTTAAATAAGAAATTAGGTCATAAGCTCAACTGAATCAAGTCTAAAAAATATACATATTCATTGGTCAAAAAGTATCAGGCTGCACAACATAAAAGCATATGACACGCACGCATGCACAGAGAGTTTTATAGGGACAAGATGCATACCATTGATCAGATAGGGTCGGCCTGATATAAGCATAATAATGTCCACCGTGCACCCCACCACTATGAACCAAAACACTACCAAAACAAACAAATAAATTAAAGAAAAGAAAGTGAGCAGAAATTTAATAGCATTATTAAATTCATATATGCACAACGCACAGTCAACTTACACATTTGGTAAAATGTATGTACTGGAATCAATACAGAAACAGAAGTTACCAACAAAAAGATTATCATTGGACTCAGTCACCAAAGACTGTGAAACACCCAATTAACAGACTAGATAAGATAGAAAAATCCAGCAGAGGATATAAATAATCAAACTGGCTGAAGAAACTATATAATGAACAGTTTCATCACAAAAATTGGGCATTAGAGTTAAGATAAAAAGGTCTCAAAGAAAAGAGAAATGAAAACTCATCATCCATATCAAAATGAAAGAAAATGCTGAAACCAACATCTTAATATTCAATCTACCAAGACAACCATTCCAGGGATGAAATCTGTTGGCATCGTACTAGGAAGGTCCATGTTTCAAATCCAACACCAGGTAGTGCAAAAAGATACAGACATACATCTGATCAACAAGTGCAAGTCAAAAGCAAGTAACATAATTCTTATAACTAAAATGACTAGTCCAACTAGCTACAACCATAAATGCAACAGAGTAGGCCTACAAACTATTTATTGAAGGAAGGCTTTGCTCTTTCACCCTATACAAATGCCTGCAAATTTATGAGTTGTTCAAGAAAAGCTCAGGTTCAGCTTGCTAAGATTCATTCATCTACCAAACAAGCTTCAGCCAAGCCCAAGACTGATTGCAAATTTATGAGCTGTTAAAGAATAGCAGGCTCAGCTTGTTTATGAGCTTATTCAATTATTCATTCACCAAATGAGCTTCAGAGCCAACCACAAGACAAAGCCTAGTTCTAAAACGTGTTTCCTTGATCACAAACCAACAAGCATAGAGTCAAAACTTGTTTCCTTGATCACAAGCCAACAAGCATAGGGCCCACTTAAAAACAAATGATTTTGTTTTCAAACTGAACATTGTTTTCACTAAAAAACAAAATGAATTGAATAAAATAATCCCTAACAGGCCCTACATGTGTCGCATACATATCCAAATATCAAAGCTCAAATGTTGATATATGCAAGGCTATGTTTTTTGTGTGTATAAGCAATGGGCAAGTGTGTCCCTTGAGTGTTCAAAGCTTGTCCATTATAAATTTTAAAATTTTAAAAACATAATAGGACACATTTAAATGCGTATCCGACAAGGTCGGTATCCGACGCAGACAAAACACCTCTTAAAAGCCTTTTTGTCATTGTGTGTGTATATTACATTCATACAAATCTAGATTTTTCTTGAATTTCTTTTGTTCTTGAGGTTAAGCAAGGCAGGATGAGGGAGGAACAAGAGAAGGGTCGAGGAGTCATCCCAGTCCCACACCAGCCTGTTGCCATCCCCACAATGACTGTAATCATCAACATATTACTTGTACTACCTTAAATGCAGAAGATGCCTCTCGTGCCTCTTGTTCTCCGTCAACATGTTATTCTCTTCTCACATTTTTCACCCTTTTGATGCTTTCTTAAGTTCCAAATTTTGTTAAAAATGGTGATCATAAAACCATGACCAAAACCCACCCTAATACCTAATGTAGGCAGCATAGCCCAAGTTCCCTAAAGCAGTCCTACATTGATGTAACACCAAGCTTGAACTTGCAAAAAAATATAGCAAGTCGAGCTTGGATATGGTTAGGTTAAACCAAACATGCTTGGTTTGAAGCTAAGCCTAAACAATATTCCACCTTTGACAAGCAAGTGAAGCCTTAATGGCCAAGTAAATGGGTTGGCTCAATTCAGTTGCATCTCTACCTGCTAGAACTTTCTAAATTTAGCCTTGTTTATAATCAACTAGTATTGTCAATTATAGTGTTTTATTTGTATCTATATAATAAATAGCGAGGAGCTGCTCACGACATTAATAAGTATATGGTATATATATACTCCGAAATATGGAAAAGAATGGTTCTCCAGGAAAGCATATCCCTTAGCCCCGGGGCATTAAAACAATGCTTTAAACACTTTTTGTTCCTTGGGCTTTGTATCAAACATTTTTCAAGTAGTACCACTTTGGGTTGCTTCAAAGGAACTTAAAATCAAGAAAGACAACCGAAACTATTACCTATGAAGTGTGTAAAGGTTGCGAACACTCCTATCTGCATCAGGTGATAAATATTTACCATCCTCCCTATCAAGGTCAAGTTGAAGAGGGAATTCATAGCGGTCATTTATCTGCACAGAGAATACATGCACAATTACAAATAGAAACAAGTATAAACAACATTTCCTCTCACATGGAACAGAATTCATCTCAACATCAATGTGTTCAATCCGTGAGAAAATTAATAAAAAATAAACCAAAATATTGAAGAATATGCAAAATCTAAAACTTAATGGTGCTTACAAGCCCCCTGGAAATTAGAATACAATTGGTAGATAATAAAAGGCTTATACAAAACAGGATTTAAGTCACTGTAACAATTTGGCATATCATCAAGAAGACTACAATCATGCAATAATAAATATAGCATTAATAGAACAGCGGAGGCCCCTACCACTGAAGAATCGAATAAGCGTATAAAAAAAAAAAGGATGAAGAACTGTTACTGATCTGTCCAAGAAATAAGTTGATGACCATGGTGGCACACCCAGTGAAATGAGCTTGTTCAACGGACTCTTCTCTCTCAATCTTAGTCTCTCTTTTCTCCCTTTCTCCTAATTCTTTCTCTACATTTGCTGTCTTTACTGTTGGATTTGATGGGAATCTAATTTCTATTTGAAATTTTTATGCTTTCATCAGATTCCCTCAAATTTGTGTCAAACACATGCCCAAATTTTGATTGAAACGATTTCATAAAGCTCGAAACCCACTGTAACAAGCTCATTTCATTTGCAACCAAAAAATTTCAATATTCTCTGTGGGTTTCATTTCAGTTTCCACCAAAACCGAATTATTTTGGACATTTCAACCAAATCGAAATGAATTTTAGTTCCTTGATTCAAACATCTCCAGTGTAGAAAATCATTCATTTCTATGAATGTTACAAATATATATATATATATATATATTAGAGCTAAACTGATATACTAAACCAAGTTTCCCAACCAAGTTTATCGAAGTGTATAATAGTCAAGTAATAATTTAAGAAGCATGCAGAATGTCAATCATGTTGAGAAAATGTGTAGAGACAGCTCCCTCTACTGACCTTCACCATCGTATCCCGCATGAAATCATATTCAAACCGCTTTAGTTGAAGTTGAAGAACTGGCGGGAAGTCAATAAATAAAACACCCTTCTTAGCATCCTGAAATTAACAGAGATGCAGGCATTTACCTTGAGAATCATATTCAAATATATATATGTACGCATATCATCTAAACTGATGGTTTGTTTAACTAACTTTAAAAATAATAAAAATAAAATAAAAAAACCGCAACTACGTGCATAAAAGAAACTTGGGCAACCACATACCATATTGTCTATATGATTGCTAACCGCAAATCAAATCGTTAATAGTTTAGGTAAAATAGTGAAGCTGAATTGTATCAAATTGTGAATTGTGAGATTCACTTTATTTAACACAATATATAATTTTATATATTTATATACATATAAAAATACACGCATAGTATTTAAAATAAAATAAACATCAACAAAACTAAATTGTTTATATGGATCTATACATAAAACTATGTATCTTGATATAACTAAGTAATCTCTTTCTATTCCTTGATATAGAATCTAAAAAGACTTCTCATGCATTATGCAACAAAAACAAAAATAAAATTGAAATGCAATGCAATGCAATGCAATTAATCGTAGTGAATCGCAAAATAAATCACAGGATTCACTCAATTTCCGATTCAACGATACGATTCGAATCATTTTAGTTGAAACTCTAATCGAATCAGATAAATCAAATCGTGAATCACACAATTCTAACAACCATGATTGTTACTTCTACAACAAATCTTCTACTTCCCTACTAAATAGATTTTCCAAGGTTCTTTCTGTTAAATAGGTTTTTACTAGTTTAAAAGCTTTAGAATAGATTTAACCAAATGCAATCATTGTTTGTTTAGTCGGACTTTGACATGTTGAGAAGATCAACTCTCACTTCTCTTGAATTTTTTTTTTTTTTTTTTGATAAATACACTTCACTTGAAAATGTTATCCCTTTCTCAATAATTAGTTTGTAAATAAAGTCATAAGCGTGCCTCATTTGTTTAAATAGAAAGAAATGTTCTGCTTGCCACTGATTCTACCCAGAAGATATGCTGAACAGAATTGGTATATATTGTACTAACTCAAGCAAACCATTCCATAATGCATGTTGTGTTCCATGATCTAACTTCTAAGAAACACATGTGGATGGATATAAAAAAAAAGGTTTCACCACATAGTAGAAATTGAACAGAATTATTTAGGATGCAAAATTGAAATAGATCTCCAAAACTCCTCATCAACTAGTTCATTTTAATGCTTTTTTGCCAGTTACCAACTTGCACAACCTTATTTCATTATTTGGGAGTGGCAACACAAAAAACTATCAGAATTATTGACAGAAATTTGTCCATTAATTTTAGCTTGCTTTGACAACTCCAGATTATAATTCAGCTAAATTATTTTTTCTTGTATCAAGAAAATTTTACATCCAATTAGAATCATCGCCTAGCAACTAACCTGTAATCCGTGTTCTTCAGCCTGATATTTATTATCACCTTCAAGACGTTCAACTTCAACATACTTGTCAAACGACGCATAAACATCCCGACAACCTTTGACATCGAGCTGAAGGTCTATCATACAATTAATATGTAAATCAATACCGTACACTGAATTTGATAATGACAAAACCCAAAACAACCTAGACTTTCCATAATAACAAAATACCATAAAATGATTCTTTTCTCGTAGATTTGAAGTCCACATTAATGCATTCGATGTAGTTCATATGGTGCCCTTCAAATAACTGTTGTATTGTCCCTTCCACAACAGTTCCCTGGAACAGCAGATTGCAATCAGAATACCATAACATTGAGTTGAAGGCCACAGCTATTAAATACAGTACCTTCATCTTATCTTCAAGTTTTTCACACAGAACTCTATTAAGCTCCTGCACATCATGCTGCATGAAAGAATCATATGTGTCCCATCCAAAAGATTTGGTCAATTCCTTAGTTGCAACACTGGTCTCATTATATTGTAGCTTATAAAATAAACTCTGAAGAGCCAAAGGAATGCTTCCTGATGGCATGTCATTCTCTGTTGTCGGCATGTGATACACAGCCTGAAACATATCACCCATCATGAGAAACTGCCTTCTACATAAATCAGTGACAAAAACCATATACTTGAGTAGAAGAACATGAGAACTGATCACACCTTTCTGAAGTAGGGAATATGATATAGAGTTTGAAGCAAAGAGTTCATATAACAAGTAGCTCCCTGATTCTTTAGTCCAACATAACCAGTTTCCTTCTTCGAGTCATATGTCCAGTAATCGATGATCCTACGAACAGCAACATCAGCTTCAATAACACATGTATCATTCACAAGAAACCCTCTAGAGGGATCATAAAGTTCACTTAGAGGCATAAAAGATGTGAAGCCCCAATCACTCTCCCTTGCATTGAACTGGTGCTGTGTGTCTACAAAATCCAAACAAGATTGTTAAAATTAAATCCATGTCAGAAGATTTACTTAAAATGTCATCAGAATGTGCACAAAGAAATTGAGAAGAAACAAATTCTCTGTTAGGCAAAGGTAAGAAATGAAATAGATACTGACAAAATTCCTTGAGCCCGAGAGAGAGAGAGAGGGAGAGGGTCAGGTTTGCTATTGATTCAACCCATCATCATCTAACAATTGTATTTTGGTAAGCTTTGAAGACTAGAGCAACCCAATCAGTCCATAGATTGATGAATAATGATAATCAAATTAACAGGATTATTTCAGCCTGATGGCCCTGACCCCACAAGATGCAGGGGAGTCAAGACTCAATGACTAAGCATTTTTTCAATTGCAACTCAGAGATTGATTTCTTCAACATCCCCTTTCTGATGGCCCTGACCCCACATACAAACATTTATCCACTAAACTCTTTTGAATGCTTTTTTCATTATGTTGACTATATTTCAAGTAAAGTGAAAGCTACTTCTAGGTATGAAAAATAACATGGAAGAACAAAACAGGAGACCAATCGAGGGTCTTGCATAAAATATTCTTACATATGTTCCACATCAAATGTTATTCTCAACTTGGCTAATCTAGTACATAACGGAATACAAACATCACTCCCCATGTATTTGTCATTAATGAAAATTGCTTGCAAGAACAGTAGTACTATTATTCCCACAAGTAGTATATACTCAATGCTTAAAAAACCTTAATGGAATAATCTATAGTTTTTTTAAATTGCTAATAATTACTTGCAACAAGCAGCCAATGCAAGAGCTTTTTTTTACCCCTTACTTCTGGACAAGATAATAATCAAATTTTAAGTATCTACAGGAACTACAAGTAGAAGAAAAAGGTCCAATCTCTCAACCTTCTTAAAACCTATGTTAATCAAACAAATATAGTTCGCCTACATACTTTACTCTCAAATTTATTAAATTTAAAAAACTTCTTTGTTTACGCAATGCAAAGAAATGTTTTTTTTTTTTTTTTTTTTTTTTTTCAGTTCCATAGAACCATAAGTTTACAACAGAACAAAATCAGCATGGTTCTTTTAACAATCATCTACTGCAGTAATGGGAAAACAATTTTTTATACACAATGTAAGGTTAATAGATTTAAAGCAAAGCTCATAAAATAACATAAAGGTCCCATTTGGGAAAACAATTTTTTATACACAATGTAAGGTTAATAGATTTAAAGCAAAGCTCATAAAATAACATAAAGGTCCCATTTTGTGTGACAAGTTTTGCTTTTTTTTTGTGTGGGAAGCAAAGGGAGAAAGATTCTTAACGAACTTAGAGAATATAACTATCGATGTAGTATATGAACTTAAATATGGCACTCCAATCACATAAAAAACAAATGCAAGAGCAGTGTAGAAATACCTTTTCTTATTGTAAGCTTGCCATGAAACTGATTAACCACAGCCAAGCTGAATTGCGCATATCTACTCCACCCATATGGCAACGTTGCTGAATCAGCCACGTCTAAATACATTGACAAGTAGTCGACATTGTTTCCCTTAGGAAAAATAAGCACCCGCCTGCCCAAACCAATGCAAGTTGAGAATCAACAAAAACTTATTTTATAAAATTTAGTCAGATTGCATAGAAAAGTCAAATCTGAGTATGAGGCAATTACCATTTATAACCACCAACTACAAAAACCTCAGAATAGTGCTTCTTGGTGTTCACCCTAGAAAAGTTCTCAATTGTCCATGTAAACCTAGATGTTTGAGGCTCTTCAACTTGTTGGTTCTCCGTCCTACTAACAGTTTCTGGTTGCGCTATTACTAACAAATCAAAAAACAGACACAACATGCAAAACTAATTAAAAATTCCCACCATTACACATCATCAATTACAAACTATATCCCACTGTGACACTAATTTCACTACAAATACAAATAATTTATCATAAATTCAACTCATGAACTTCAAAGAAACATACTTTCCATGGGCTGAGGACCCTGCAAGGGCTGAGGACCTTCCACGAGTTCCGAATGCGGCACGAGCATATCCTCATCCTCTTGCTGCAACAACAACACATCCCAAATCAGATAACCTGATCCAATAAACCCTAACCCTAACAACCCAATCAAAACCCTAAATCCCAAAAAACACCAGGAAACCCCAAAAATGAATTCGAATTGAACCTAAACCTAGACGATCACATACCCAAAACAACACAATCCAAACCCATACAAAAATCCCTCAAACCCACAAAAAAATCCCTCAAACCCAGTAACCCTAACTAAAAAAAAACAGTGAAAAAAGCAAAATTCATAGGATTTTTCGCAGACAGAGAAAGAAGAGACGTACGTCCAACGGTGGAGGAGTCATTATAGTCATGGTAGAAGAGTTTGCTTCGCCGATCAGCCAATCGCTTCAAGGGTTAGAGAGAGTGGGCTCTGCGAAAGAGCGACACTGCCTAGAAGAAACTAATGTCGAAGAGAGACACAGAGAGAGAGAACTCCGAGGCTCGACTGAGAGAGAGAGAGAGAGCTCTTTGGGTTCGATTGGGTTGAGAGGTACATACGGAATTTCAATACGTAGAAGAGGGGATAGCGGAGAGAGTGCTAGCCTACGGTTTGTTTTCTAAACAGTAAGGAATGAGAGCTATAGAAAGAGGACACGTGAGTGTTAGTTGACGTGGCGGATTATTAGGGCGTTTTTGAGTGTGAACCCGAAGCGCACCGAATACGATCTTATTCCTAGTACTAGTTGAAGTGTACCACAAATTTTCTACTGCGTGCAATAGGCCTATCAGGGCTAGACTTTTTTCTTTTTTTTTTTCTTTTTTTTTTTTTAAAATAATGATTTTTTTGTTTTAAATTATAGACAAATAAGAGTTATAAATAGGGAATAGTAGAAAAATGGTCACAATACAAAAATTAAAAGAAATTTTGTAATTTAATGGAAGAAAAAATAATAATAACAGTAGACATGAAAAGTTGTAAAATCATTATAAATAAGTTAAAATCTTTATAAAATAATAAAACTAAAATTTTCTTTCTCTTTCTCTTTCGCCTTCATTTTTTTTCTTCCGTCTCTTTAAACTACCATACTCATTATTTATCATCCATTTACGCCAGCTGCGTTAACACCTTTTCCACCATTCTAATTATTGCCAATCCTTCATCCATTCTCCTCCAACCACCATTATCCCCTCCTTTATCCTCCTTCAATTACTTTAATCCCTTTTTTACCTCCTACTACAACAACCATCCCTCTACAATCTCTCCTCTCATACTCAATCGCTCCTCCATAACCTCCTTTCCCCATCATAACTCTTGTGATCCCTAGTTACCATCACAACACTCTAGTGATTACCATAACCAAGTTGATATCTCTCTCTATTTTTTTTAGGGTTTTGATTTTGGGATTTGTTCCAAATCTGAAGAGAGCGAGGTAACAGAGGTCTAGGTAGGGCAAAACATAAGGTGGGGAGAGGAGTAATGAACGGTAAACATAAGGGTTGTTGACAATTGAGAAGGTGGAGAAAGGAGAATGGTGGTTAGCGGCAAGAAAAATGAGAGGGTTTGCAAAGAGATGGAGATTAGTGGTTAGCGGCAAGAAAAATGACAGGGTTTGCAAAGAGATGGAGATTAGAAAGTGGCCTTGGAAGTTGATAGAGGCTATGGAGTGGTTGGAGAAGGTAGAGAAAGATTGTCAACTGTTGGAAAGTGTGGGGGAAGAAGTGTCGCCTCGTTGAAGAGAATACTCATTAGAATGGAAGTTGCAAGAGATTGTGGATGAATAGTTACTGACAAGGAAGGAACAATGGAGTTACAGAAGGCGAGGAAGGATATTTTTGTCTTGTTAAATATTGACTTCATGTTTTTACAATTAATTTTAAATATTTAATCTCCATTGAAATTTTAAAAAACATCCCATTGATTTACATTTGTTTTCCTTTTCAATGTTATGTAATTTTGCCTTCTAAATGTTATTCTATTTTGAGAGGTGTATTGTAAAATCTCATAGATAAATAACTTTTAATACATAATCATAGCACCGTTGCTTGGATGCAAGTACATCATCATTGCCTAATAAACAATAATGTTACATTTATTACATATTTATATTATATTATATTTATCATATTATTTGTCATTGCAACATCAATATAACGGTATTCACCAAAAAATAAAATAAAAAAATAAAAAATAGTGTAATGAATCCAACTACTAATGTATATATAGTAAGATAAATGGTCACTATAGCATTACTCCCTAATAAAATGAAGGGGCAAATACAGGATAATATTTGCCAAATTAGTGTAGTAACCATCTTGCTAAAAGAGGACAAACATGCCATTTAACATGAATTTTGCCCCAAAATTTATTCCAAAATTGAGATGCATAGTATAAATTTTAAGTTGATAAGATGGGTCACACTTAGAATAATTGTAGTTCATAAATGTACTTTTAATTATGGGTATGTATCATTGTTGCAAAAACAAACTTTGAATTTGTTTTGCAGGTTGAATTGGTCTGCAAGCTTCCTTCTGCCAAGTTAAAAGAATGAAAACTACTTGAATCTATATACCACTAATGTTTGAAGGGTGCATCAACTTATAGCTAATTGGGTTTTGAGTCTCATCAACACTACTACAGTAATCTATAGAAAATCAACCCATCAACGGTCTCAACAACTAAACGATTCATGCGTAACAGTTGCAGCAGATAAGCTCTCCCTTTATGCCCTGCAACCAACAAAAAAAAACAAAAACAAAACAAGCATAGCAGATTAAATTTCACTGGTTTATGCTAATATTTTATTATTCAAGAAGTATCGCAATTTACATACATGTAAGACTAGTTGTACTTCTACTGAAATGAAACCCTCATATCTCTAACAAGTTTTAACCAACATTATTAACATCATAAATTGACAAGTATCACTCCATTCATGAAAAAAATAATATGGAAAACCCTGTATCACTAGTTCTTGGCCAAGATCAAGTTCAGTAGTTTTGTATAATAATTGTCAAATCGAGAATAATATCATGAATTGAAATAGTCTTATATTGTACTGTGCATTGTCAAACCAAAGAAACAAACAAAATTGAAATAATCTTATAGTTTTTTGCTGGTAATGCAATTTTTTTATACTAATGAACAAAATTGAAATCATACTACAGAAATATTCAGATACCAACCGAATCCCAATGATGCAAGTTCGTCTTGGTGGAAGAAGTTGCCTTCCTCTATTTTTTGCTTTTGACTTAGGATTGAGTTCATCTTCTCAACAGCTCCGAGCAGATCCTGCAGAGTGATGATGCTCCTAAAGTTATATCCCACTAACAATGAAGGAAAAAATAGCTACATAGAGCTATTACATGAAGCCAATCCCGCCATGCAATAAACAAAAAAGAAAACTAAGGAATATAAATTCTTTTGAAAATAAACCAGAAAGATAAAGATGGTTAGAAAATAAGATTAATTGATAAGGCCTTAAAAAGACAAATACAGTTTTGTGCTTAATTAAGCAGACATTTCAATGAGAAGGGATGGATGGAAAAAGGAAATCATTGCCAGGAAAATTAGAATAATTATATTATACGAACCTCTAATATCCAGTAACCATAAATAGGTAGCAAATTATGTTGTCAGAAGTTGACAAAATTAGACAATTGTCTGACAGTACCATAAATAAGTATCAAATTATGATGTCAAAACATCTACAAACAAAACTTGACTAAGATGAATGAATACAACACGATATGGACACACCAACACAATTATTTTTATTTTTCATAAAAAGAAAAAAGAGAAAGTAAGCCACGAGATGGCGAGGACACGGCAATACACATGAAAATAATAACATCGTCATTCTTTATATTACAGATATAATTATATTTTATTAATATCAAAAAACAGTGAGAAATACTTTTTAAAAGCCTGTACATTGGAATAGAAGTGTGGACAAAAAGTATTTGTTTGCAAACAACAAATTAGGAATTTTAGGTTTTAGGGTTCATAAATTAAAGCTGAAGGAGAAGAGAGTTGCAGTAAACTAGCGTTGTTTTCATTTTATTCATTGGCTCCCAATACAGTTTTTTTCAAATCTATGATTTGTTTTATGTGTGTCGAAGTGATAGACATGCATCTTCCCAATCATAGCATTTCGTCAGAATACACCCTGTCATTTCACCTTAGCAGTCCTACGCACAGTTAGTACTATAGCCCCAGTCATGGCTACTAATAAAATAAGACTAGGAACCACAAACCAGACAGAATAGTAGGTATAAAGTAAATTGCCCAATGTTTCCAAAGTTGTGTCTAAGGAATATAGGTGTCCTACACGGACACAAAAAGGGAAAAGAAAACAGAAACGGATTAGAAGTGTATGTGCTTTTTAGAAATTAGACAATTCATGTCATTGTAAGTGTATTGATTGGAGTTTGTGAATAGTTAGAACATGGAAATGTACAATTTCTACCATATGTTGGTAAGGATATGGATGCATTTACAAAATAGAAAGAAAATACAACTGTGATTGTGATGTAACTTAAACCACCTACATACTTCGTGAATTTTTTTATTTTTTTTCACTTTTCAACCCCAAAAGTAATGGTGACATTGGTTGTGTTGGAGGAGGTGGTGGCGATGCCTGATGGGGCAAGGTTCTTGATAGTGACAACAAGATGGTGGCAACCAATGTTTTAAGCACAAGGCGCAGCCTTGAGCTTCGAATAGGTCGAGGCGAGGCGCCATACGCAAGGCGCAACATAGGCGCTAAGGCGAGGGCTTTTTTTCAAGGAGAGAGGTGTGGGCTTCATGGCTTTACCTATTTTTCTACTGCTATTGATTAAGTGTTTTTTTTGTGTGGGCATACTCACAGGGATTCAAAACTCTTCAATATAAAATAACCAAACGTAGTCAAAAGAGAGCAGAAAGTGATAAAAGGTTTAATGTTATGCTTTATATCATTTGTTGGATATTATATTTCTAATTTTTAGAAGATTAAATGTTATGTTTAAAGATTATTGGAAATGGTTATGAATTTTGAAATGCTACATATATATTTTGTTATGTTGAAAAGTTTACCAATTTTATAATTTTGCTTTTCTTCTACTACTTGTTATTCGCTTTGGGCTACAGGAGACCTTATAGCCTTGGTGTGCCTAGAGCTGTTTAAAACACTGGTGGCAACTGTAACACAAGTCTAATGGTGCCACAGTATTGATAAATGGCATGCTCACGAAGCTAGTGGTAGCGGTGGTGGTAGCAATAGTAATGATGGGTGATTAACACATTGAGGAAAGGGTTTTGATAATAACAATGTGGTAGGGGGGTGGTGATGGTGGAGGTATGCAAAGTGGTCGAGGCATCTGTGAGAATATATTGTGTATATTCTATAATTGGCATGATTGTGGTTGTACATATTATAAGCATGATTGTGTATAGGCGTGATTGTGTTTTCCTTTTTTGGTCTAGGAGTTAGGGCTATATAATCTAGGGTCTTGTTGTAATCAAACACACAATTGAATATACAGATTATTATTCAGAAATCTTACATGGTATCAAAGCCATCTCTGAGCCTAAACCCTAGAAGCTGTCTGTAGGGGTGTTTGGGAAAAAAAAATTTAGCCTCTTTTAGGCTAAAATCTACAAAAAGACAAATTAGGCTAAAATATCACATCAAACCTATAATCATTTTACTTTTTCTCTCACAAACATCACATCCAACTACAAAAAAATTCCAATCATCTTTCCAAACACAAAAATTTTAGCCTACTCAAATAGCAACTTCCCAAACACCCGCTGTGAGTCGTGACTCTCTCTGAGTGCATTCGGTTCAATCAAAGTCACGAGTGCCTCTTGCATCTTCTCAGGCTCCTCATCTGCTTTGTATTTCATGTTTCCTCTGGAATCATGACTACGATTTCTGGTCTTTCTCTCTCCAGCATCGCGACTTCTCTCTCCCTGGTTTGAAGAATCTCTGCATGATTCTTGCAATCCAGTTGGTTCGAAATCGCGATCCTAGCTTCGCGTTCGCGATTGCCCTTAGTTCGCAAAGCTCTAAGGCGTGACATCTCTTCTTTCCTCTCTGATTCATGATTGCCTTGGTCTTCTCTGGTTGGTGACTTTTCTCTCTCTGCATTTATGTTATGCTCTTGGTTACAGTGGTTTATTATATATTTTGTTTGAAGCTCCATCTCTCTGGATATTACAGTTTGCTCATAGAAATTTTTAAATATTATGTTTTAACCCTATATATTACAATGTCGGACACTAAAATTCAAATCATTAAATGCAAACTCACTGGTAGTAATTATGCCTATTGAGCTAGTGTTATGAAGAATTTTCTCCTCGGTAAAAAAAAAGGGGGGGGTTATGTTTCTGGTTTTGTTCCTCGTCCATCAGACCCAAAAAATAAAGGATATTTGACTTCCTGTGTTACTTGGGATTGTGATAATGCCTAAGTTTTGACCTAGTTTCATAATTCTGTGGATGACCGTATTGGAATGATATTTTCCAAATACAGTACTACTAAGGAGGTGTGGAATTATTTACTGGGTGTTTATCAGTAGTCCAACTTTGCCAAGCGATGTGAGTTGGAAACAGCTATTCAAAATGCTCATCAGCGGGATCAAACTATTCAGGATTTTTATATTGAGATAACAGGTCTCTGGGATTAGTTGACTTCCATGGAACCATCTAGTCTCAAGGCACTAGATGCTTATGTTGAGTTTCGGAAACAAGGTCGTTTAGTACAGTTCTTAACGGCTCTTTCCCCTCAGTGTGAGGCTATCTGTGGTGGCATCCTTCATCAGTCTCCTCTTTCCTCTGTAGATGCTATTGTTCGTGAGCTCCTCTCTGAGGAAACTGGTCTTAAGATGGTCAGTCAGACTCTGTCTCCATTTGTCTTCTTGGCTCTTACTCAGCCTCCTCTGTTGTCAACCCCACCACCTTATTAGCTTTAAGCTACTGCGAAGCCCAAGAAAGGGCCCCTAGCCTCTGATGAGTGTCTCTTTTGCCATCAGAAGGGTCATTGGAAGTATAACTGTCTCAAGAAGAGACGTCAGTCTGCTCAATCTTCTCAACCACCTCAAACACAGTTTCGAAGTCCTGCTCCGAGTACTCTTCGGCCTCTTGCTGCTTATACCACATCTACTCCAGCTCCTGATCTTGACTTGGCTTTTTTAAGTGCCCAAATTGCTCAGCTTCAGCATCTCTTATCCACCTCTCAGCCATCCCCATCTGCCTTTGCTTTCACCTGTCTTCATTCAGATTTGCTTGGGTCCTCCTTCTGTTTGGCTTTTTGATTTTGGTGCCTCTCATCAAATGACTCCTCACCCTTCCTTACTCCAAAACTATATTCCCCCTCTTTTTCCTATTACTATTAATACTACTAGTGGGTCTGGTATGTCTGTCTTATGTATTGGGTTTGTTTTACCCTCTATCATGTCTACTGTTATTATTCCCTCTGTTCTTTATGTTCCTCAACTGTCTGTCAACTTGCTTTTTATCAATCAGTTTGATACTTTTAGTTTTGATGTTATCTTTTCTTCTTCTGTCTGTCGTGTGCAGGGTCAGATGTCCAAGAAGCAGATTAGGACCGGCCGTAAAATTGGAGATCTATATGTGATGGAAAGCCTGTATCTTTCTCTATCTACCTCTCCTGTTGCATTTTCATTTTTTCAGTTAGATTCTCAGTCGAGTTAGTTTTATTTATGGCATTCTCATCTCGGTCATTTGTCTGTTGACCGCTTACGGTCTTTAGCTCAATTAGGATTGTTAGGTAAAGTTTCTCCAAGTCAAATTAATGAATGTCGAGAATGTAAACTTGTTAAAATGACAGCTTTACTTTTTAATAAAAGTTCCTCTATTTCTGTTTTCCTTTTTCTCTTGTCCATACTGATGTCTGGGGACCCTCTCTTGTTTTCACTAAAAGGGGTTCTGCATACTATGTGTCCTTAGTTGATGATTGTATCCTCTATACTTGGGTTTATCTTATGGCTCATAAATCTGACTTTTACCCGATCTACGGTACCTTTTAGTTTATGATCACTGCGCAGTTTAAGGCTACAATTAAAATGCTACGGTCTGACTTGGGTGGGGAATACTTTAAAACCGAATTTTGTGAGTATTTGGCCAATTTGGGTACCCTTCATTAAACTTCCTATACTAATACACCTTTCCAAAATGGTCGTGTTGAGTGTAAACACCGTCATCGTGAGACAGCTCGATCTCTCCTTCTCTCTACCTCTATTCCGCACCATTCTGGGGTGAGACAATTCTTACTGTTGCTTTTCTACTCAATTGCATGCCGAGTCCCCTCCTTTCTAGATGATCTCCTTATGAGGCTCTGTATTCCCACTCTCCTAATTATTTCCTCCTGCGTGTTTTCAGGTCTGCTTGTTTTGCCCTTCTTCCCTATAAAGATAGGACCAAACTAAGTGCCCGGTCTGTTCTGTATGTCTTTTTGGGTTACAGTCTTATTCAAAAAGGCTACCGCTGTTACGACCCTATCTCTCATCACCTTTATGTCTCCCACCATATTGCCTTTCTCGAATGTCTGCCTTACTTTCAGTTTCCTCCACTCACTACTCCAGTTTCAAAAGAGGATTTGGTTCACATTGACCCATTTCCTTTTAAGGTCCCGTCTAATGAGTGCATCTCCACTGTTCCTCCTGCGCTTGTTTCATCTTCTCCACCTTCCACCCCTTCAGTTGAGTGTCTCTCCACTGATCTCCCTAAGGCTATTCCTACTTCACCTCTGGCTACTTCTCCTTCGTTGTTAGTCTATTCTCGTCTCAAGACTCTCCCTCCACCAGTTGTCTCTGTCCCGGTTGCTGCTTATTCTGCTTCTGAAGACTTTGATCCGACTGCATACCGATATCCTACTCAAGAGCGTCATCTTTCAAACAGGTTTGGTTGGTCTAATACATGTTTTTCTGCTTCCTATCGTACTTTTTTGTCTGTTATTCATTCTTTTGCAGAATCTCAGTCTTACAAGGAGGCTTATTAGGATCCCAATTGGGTTTGAGCTATGGAGGATGAGTTGTTTGCCTTGCAGAAGACTAATACTTGGGCATTGGTTCATTTGCCTGTCAGCAATAACCTAGTTGGTTGCTAATGGGTCTATAAAGTGAAGACTCATTCTAATTGTTCTCTTGAGTGATACAAAACTTACTTTGATGCCAAGAATTTCTCGCAGGAGTATGGTATTGATTATAAGGATACCTTTGCCCCTGTTGCCAAGATAACTACTGTCCGTACCTTGATTTCTGTTGCTGCTATTCGACATTAGCCTCTCTATCAACTGGATGTTAAGAATACTTTTCTTAATGATCATCTCACTAAGAAGGTCTACATACGTCCACCCCCTAGCCTTCCCTACTCCTCTGGGCAGGTTTAATAATATGATTATCACTGGCTTTGACTCTTCTGCTATACCTGAGATCAAGCAGCACCTTTTCCACACCTTCAAAATGAAAGATCTGCGTCCATTGCGGTATTTTCTTGGTATTGAGATTGCTTCTTTTTCAAAGGGCTATTTTCTGTCTCTGGCTAAGTATGCTAATGAGGTCATTCACCGTGTTGGTCTTACTGATACTAAGGTTTCTGATACACCTATTGAGCTTAATGTGAAGCTCAACTCTACTGATGGTGTCCCTCTGGATGATCCTACTTTATATCGCGAGCTTGTGGGTTGTTTAGTTTATCTGACTATCACTCGCCCTGATCTTGCTTATGTTGTTCATGTGGTTAGTCAGTTTGTTTCTGCTCCTCACTCTACCCATTGGGCTGCTTTGGTTCGCATTCTTCACTATCTCAGGGGTACCATCTTTTAAGGCTTACTTCCTCTTTGGACTTGGTGGCTTATGTTAATCCTGATTGGACTAGTGATGTTACTGATCGCAAGTCTACGTCTGATTTTAGTATGTTTCTTGGTGATTTCTTGATCTCTTAGAAAAGCAAGAAACAATTAGTTATTGCTCGCTCTACTGTAGAAGCTAAGTATCGTGCTATAACTCATGCCACTATTGAGATTGTTTGGCTTCGTTGTCTCCTGTCTGATTTGGGTGTCTCTCAGTCTTCTCTGACCTTTCTCTATTGTAACAACCGCAGTGCTATTCAGATTACCCACAATACTGTCTACCATGAATGGACTAAACACATTGAAATTGATTGTCACTTTGTCCAACAACATCTGCAGTTTGGCTCTATCTCGCTTCCTTTCGTCTCTTCGGCTTTGCAAGTTGCGAACTTCTTCACCAAGACTCACACTAACGCTCGGTTTCAGTTTCTTCTGAGCAAACACTCAGTGGTTTTTGTTAAAACACCTTGAGTTTGAGTGGGGGTATGAGAATATATTGTGTATATTCTATATTTGGCATGATTGTGGCTGTACATATTATAGGCGTGATTATGTTTTTCTTTTTTGGTTTAGGAGTTAGGGCTATATAATCTAGGGTATTGTTGTAATCAAATACACAATTGAATATACAGATTATTATTCAGAAATCTTGCAGCATCATCAAGGACAGTGGTGAAGGTTCTGGCAATGGCTGCCTTGGTAGATTGATGTTTCTAAGTTTTGTTTTGTTTTTTTTTTTTTGTTTTTTTTAAATATTGTAGTAAGTGGGATTAAGGATTTCTTTTAACATTAAAAAACTTCAATAGTTGAAAATAATCTTGTCAATAAAAAAAATCCTAATCTTATATTCCCAACCCCAAATCCCAATCCTCCTAGAGATTGAAATGTAAAACAAACACAATAGTTGGTTTTGGAGGGCCCAATTTAATTCCCATCCCACCCCATGTCCTAGAACAAAACACATCCTCATAGAATCTTTTGCCACCTAAGACATGTTTGTTGTGGATATTAAATTATGTAAAGGTAAATTGGTTTCTCAGCCAACATTAGTACAATCTCTTATTGATCTTTTAACTACTATTCATATTAGGATAGAGCTTAAGATTGAGAAATCATAAGCACAGCCAATGCTGATTGACATTTGTTGACTGTTTAATTAGATATAATACAATGTTTCTATAGGTGCAATTTTTGAACTCTCAAACACTACTTGGCTCTCTATTACTAATTTTGATGAACTGCTTTATAGAATTTTTTATACCTATTAAGGTCTCATTTGGCAACTATATGTTTTAGCCAAAAATCCAAAATATCACTATAAGTTGTCACATCACTCTCTCTACTTTTCTGCACATCTTTTCGTAAAAAGTCAAAAAATTACTAAAATAACTTGTTCCCAGACGAGGCCTAAGAGTACATAATACCATTTCTTACCCGATTTTCTTAATTCTAGACACAAGAAAATAGGATTCACATTAATAAATCCACACACGTGTATGGGCTCATGTGTAGCATTCTCCATATTCAAACATTGAAAGACTTATTCTCAATGCATTGGGACTGTGCCTTGCCTCAAAACGGGTGAAACATCTAATTTCACTTCTAAAAGACTTATTCTCAATGCATTGGGATTGTGCCTCGCCTCAAATCGGGTGAAACAACTAATTTCACTTCTAAAAACTAGACACTAAATGAACATTTATTCCTACCAAAGTTTGGTAGGTAAATAACTGTGCCAGAAAAAAGTATGCGTTTCAGAATATATCAATGGATACCCAATAAAAATCATGGGGGTCCTAGCTACGATAAAAGTAGATCACCGACAATCATTCTAAACATTTATTTCTTTCAGAACTTTTAACCGAATCTGTAATTTACATCTTCAAGGTATGATCACGTTTTGGATTAAATCAGAACTCAAAATGTTAGCGTCATATGCGAAACAATTAAATTGACATCCCTAACATTCTAGATCCCATTTTAAAAAGTAAGTTTGTAAATCCAAGTAAGAAATCCACAAAAATATACAAAATATCAATTTAAATGGGATATATTTTGATGTGTTGCGTAATGGGTTCCCAGCATTACAACAAAACCATTTACCCAGATTTACAGATATTGCCTTGTGAGAAACATTCCGCTGAGTGTAGCATTTGTGAAATTTAAAATCCTAGTAGCAGCGTTATTATTTTACAACAATTTTCAGAGAGATATCATTCAAGCGTCAACTCTTAAGGTTCATCTCTTACAACTTACATTTTTGGAATGTCAATACGAAGAATGCAAATTAATTGCATATTATCCGATTTAAGCATCCATTAAATCTGGAAAACAGTTGTATCACGAGAAATAAAAAGGGAAAAGTTCTTACCTCCCACGATGCTAGGGTTCTCATATACGAAGGAAGACTTTCATAATCATCTTTTGATACATTTATAACAGATTTAGGTGCTCCAACTGATTTGGGGTCATCTCCTACCTCACCTAGTTTCATGGTGAATGATAACACAAGTGACAATTAGATTTTGGCATCACTGAGGCAATGGACATGTTAAACAGGGTGGTTAAGGCACCCTGAACTATAAAAACCAGACAATTTTGTACCTTCAATCACTTCCAAGAACTTTGAAGCAGGTCCATATTGTCCCTTCAACCCATGTTGTTTTTCCGCAGAAAGGCTATAAATTGGAAGAAAAAATTAAATGAGATAGAACTGAAAGGTCAGTATGAAGAAGAAAAACAAAAAAACTTCAACTTACTTCATTGGCTCTGGCAAAGATATATCAAGGCTATCAACCTTTCTATTAGCTGCAGAGACAGGGAGATTAGTAGAGAGAACCAATTGCTGCAAGTTTTCACTACAAAGAAGAAGGACTGAAGCACAAAACTACTCTCCTACGGTCTTCACAGAACAAGAGGTGAAGGCTCAGTTTTTATACAAGGTTCAATCGAAAAATGTGTGCTCATAATCGAAGCCATTAAAACTATTGGTAGCCACCAACAAAATATGTGGTATAAGATAAATTATATTATACATATATATAACTTATCCAAAAAAAAGAATCTATTTTTAAATGACATTTTCATCTTTCGTCACTATATGCAAAATGGCTAGTAAACATTCAAGGTATTCTTCTCTCATATGTTGTGCAAATTACAATTGAACCATTCAATTTCCTTGGGATATGTAACCACATTCTGAAAAAAAAAAATTTATTGTATTCAAGGAACTCTCAAATCAATTTCCCAAATAAAAGGAGTTCTCAAAACAACGGTAAAAATTATCTACTAACCATCAGATGCTATAGTGGCAAGACACACATCTGAAAGTCCAAGATCCTGTAAGCTCAATGAGTCCTCCAATCTAATAAAGTTTAGGAAGAACAAATGATCCACAAAACCATGACATACATACAGTATCAGTATGATTAGCTCAAAGCTAATAATTATAACCTACCTGACATCTCTTCTTATTCATAACAGTATGACAAAAACTGCCCACAAAATCAATAATACAAACAGAAAATCTAGAAAAATCATAAGTGAAATAAGGTGAAATGAATGCATATAATCCTCATCAGTCCTCTTAATAAAATAAAATTTTGAACTCAAATTCATTTACAAAACTAAAGAGTGAATTCACCAAAACTGTATTTCTAATCCAGATACTAAAACGGTCACATAAAAGCAGCATTTCCAAAAAATGAAAAAGAAAGCAAATAATTGCCTGCAATTAACCCCAAATAGAAGGATTGAGCACATCCACCAGCCAAATGATATCAATTTCTACACTTTCCCAGCAACCAAACAAAATAAAGTTAGAAAAGGATACAGAGGGTCAGTATCAACAGTCTTCAACTCTAACCCAAGTGGTGCAGATGAATAATCAGAGGCCTCGTCTTCTTCATCAATGTCAGGTTCTACAGAGCAAACAAAACAGCAATCAACGCCATCAATGGACACAACAAGACCTCAAAAAACCAAAGTGAATTTAGGGTTTTAGAGGGAAATTTTACCTGGGATATAGCCAAAATTCCTGAGACGGTCTTCAAGCTCAGCAAGATCACTTTGATTCTTCTTGTAGACCTCATTGCAGTTACCCAGTAGCTCCTCGAATGAAACGGTCCCGAAAGACATTGATTCAAGTAAGTTGAGGTCGCTGTTGGTGGAAGACACTCGGCGATTCAGGCACTGCACAAAAGTCGAAGAAGCGGAATCTGAAAGAAAACACCAAAACCCAACAAAGAAAAAACATGGAAATCAAGATGGGTACTTCAAGAACCGAAAGAAAGCACAATCAATCACCATGTTTGGCAAGAAATTGCAAGAAAACAAAGAAAGAAACACAGAAATTTGGATGGAAATTACTCGTGGGAAAGTCACCTGAGCCCAAAAAAATGGATCAAATTATGCTTTTCACCTTTCAACTTCAAATCAAATCACTTTGGTTATCATGTTTCAGTTTTCAATGAAATTTTAAAAGAAAGTCTGAGGATTTGCTGTAATTAAACGCAGAGGAGCGAAATTCAGGTGAAATCAAACAGAATATGAAAGAAAACACCTAAAAAGACACAACCCAACAAAAAAAAATGTGGAAATCAATATGGGTATGTCGACAAACGAAAAAAATCACAATCAATTACCATGTTTGGCTGCTGAGAAAATGCGAGAAATCAGAGAGAGAGAGAGAGATACCGAGAGGGATGGGACGGCGTTGGAGGGATTGCTTGAGAGCGTCGCAGCTGCTTTGGAGGTGGTTGCAGAAGGAGGCTAGTGTTTTGCAGAACACCCTTATCGAATCATCCATTTTCGTTTCTCTCTCTCTCTCTCTGGTTCTTGGTGGAATTCAAAATTTTCTGGGAGTGAAGTGAGGCTCTGTTCTTTTGAATGTAGTTTAGCGCGATCTGGATTTGAAATCGCCATAGACTAAGTAATTAAATATAGGGACACAAAGAGCAACGGCGTCTGTAGCTCAGTGGATAGAGCGTCTGTTTCCTAAGCAGAAGGTCGTAGGTTCGACCCCTACCTGACGCGTTCCTTTTTATCATTTGGTAATCGAATACATTTTTACTTCACAAATCTCAAATAGAGCACAAATAATAATTTCATTCACTCTTTTTTTTCATCCAAAAATTTCAACACAAATCCCAAATGGAATACATTTTTTCTTCCACTAATCTCAAATCCAACGCAACATTTTCCAATTTCACATTTATGTTTTGTTTGTTTAGATTTTTCATATTTTATTTTTTGATACCAAAAACACAAACCTATGAGAGGAGCGTTGAGTTTCACATTGACAATTTTTAGTGCTCATTTGGCAACTTTCCAATGACCTTCGGCGAGATGTAAAAAAACTTCTAAACTGTGAATTTGTATTTTTTTGCCAAGGAATAGGGGTATTAAAACTTCTCTCCCAATTTCTTATATAGATTTTTAAATTTTTAACATCCACAATAACCCCTTTTCTTTCAATCATTCTCCCTTATTATAGTGGGTGTTATTCTTTTTCAACTTTGGCTTCTAACGTTGACCAATCTATAAGAAGGTCATTATAATAGGTGTTATTCTTTTTCAACTTTGGCTTCTAACGTTGACCAATCAATAAGAAGGTATCGGTGACAAGAACGACGATGTAACTAACCTTTTTTAAATGTGTATCTTATTTTCCAAACCACATTTTTTTGTAATTTATTGTTGTAGTTTTAATATGTTTTCTTATTTTTGTCCTTGGTTGTGTTCTTTCTATTGTTCAATACGATGTTAACTTCTATTTTAATACAACTTTTTTTTAACTTTTGATACAAATGAAAGTCAACACAAAATATTTTGTGTAGTCAACAAAAAATAAGCTTAAAGTCAACTCACAATTTTTTCGTGACAAACAAAAAATAAGATTATTTGAGCCTACAATGTTTCACTCTTAAGATGAAAACATTTCTCAATCTAAAAACCCCATCACACTACCACCACTATCGCCAACTCACTGCCGCTATTGCCACCATCACACCACAACCATTAACATAGTAGTTTTAAGGATACAACCAAACATAGTAAAATGTATATTCTAAAAAACATTTTTTAGAAAGGAAAAAAACATAAGTTCCATAGAAAATGCTTTCAATTGAAAATTGTTTTCCATCAAAACAAACAAATTGATATACTCCTAACCTCATAACGGACAACGTGGGCACCAGTGTATTTGTTAACTTCCACATATAAACCAAGGTGACAAGACAAGAATATCTACAGGATGTGATAAGCCATTAGGATGGCTGCATAGACCCAACACACAAAAAGGATGTGGCTACATCTTTAATCATAACATAAAGAAACATGAAAACATGCCCCTGTGCTTCTGCATTTGTTCATAATTCTCTAATTTTCCAATTGCTCCATGCATATCCTGCAGAATTACTCACAAAGCCTCAAAACAGTAAGGCTGGCAGAGGCAGTCAATTGCATGCATCAGCTTTCTCCGGGGCCCCACAGCATCCGCACCCATGTCCTTGAGTTTCTTCATAGTCAGATTCACCAACTGGAATTTGTTCACACTTTTCCCTCGAAAAATCTTTACAAACTGGTCAAGTCCCAACAACGCTAGCCACTGGCTCAACCCCCCAGCTCTTCGAAGCTTCCTCTCAATATTCGATGCCCTCATTCTCTGATTCAGCAAGGCACCCCCAGCAAGGTAGTTCAGTGGCCGCTTACTCACTCTTGAGTTGCAATCGACCCAAAGTGCAGTGCGGGATTTAAAATTGTCAACTTGATCTAGATTTTCAGATCCAATCCTATTATCTGTCCTTGGTAGCATTGCAGTCGGTCGAGGACTTCTTCTAGCAGTTGGGATATTCTTGATCGGAACCAATGGCATAGATTTCTCCCTTTCATCAACTGAGTGAATCTCCAGGCATGTCTCCATTGGACATTGAGACTCCGTATTTATTGTTTTTATGGGCATTGCCTGCGGTTGACTTGGTCCTAGGTTTGGTGTTGTGGACTGTTTGTTAAGGGGTAAAGGAGGGATCAGGATTCTGACTATCTGTTTCTTAACTATCACCCAACTATCTTCTCCGGGAAGTTCTGCCTCAGGCCCACTTGAAGTACTATTCTTGTTTGGAGGTATTGCCACCAGCTGTCTTTGTTTTGGTTTTGCCATTCAGAGAAGACCTGTTAATCTGTGATACATGTAACATTGCATTTAGACATAAATAGTGCAGGAGTTTAACTTAATATTTGATCAAACGCGAGCAAAGAAATTCACTTCAATGGGGACTTGGATGAAAAGAACAGAAACAGCAACACAAAGTAACTGCTCAAGAGCAAAACAGCGATAGAAGCAATATGATACTATAGGAATGAAAATTGTTGGAAATGAAGCAAAGATCAGAACATCTTGATTCTATATATCCACTGATGAGCAACTATGCAAATTGTCAAGTTTCTGTATCCTTTTGTACCACAAAAGGCTGTTTAAAGTGAATTGACGAAGGAAATTCTGTATTTTTCTTCTTTATTATTGATAGGAAAGAACGGAGAAACAACACAACATTAGTAGAGGAAGGACGAGTAATCCTTCACTGATAAAAGCTAACTGCATGCCAAGTGCAAAGCAAAACCAGCCCCAATCCCTTTGATTCTCCCCACTAACTGCTAGAAGTGTCCCAACAAATCTTGCCCTTCCTTCTCAAAGAAAAGACTATGATGAAGACCCTCACGATCAATTTAAAACCATCCCTTTAATCTTTTCAATAACGAAAGCCCTAAGGTAGGCCCAAGACAACACTATCTATACCAAAGAACCTTCTCCCAACACCGCTTAACTTAAAAACAAAGCATAAAATCATTCACCTTGAAAATGATTCTCGTGTAAAAGCTTTGAAAAGCAAAATGTTGTTGATAAATGATATCTACTCTTTCATCATCATATTTTCTGTGTTTTGTAAAAGTGATTTTGGTAGATATACTTCTCTGCCAGTTGCATTCCATATGTAAAAAGGAATCCAGTTTCCATCCCAAATATAAAACAGGCTATCAGTTTCCAAACTATTGGAGAAGGATGAAATATTGCTCACATTATTTTGTTTCTTCTGAATCATAAAATGCCATTTCAGAAATCTACTTAACCCTAAAACCAAAATGATCCTTACTTATCCATAATGCCAAATGGTGCAAACTGATGTTTAAAATAACAATCTTCCTTTGTTTTCGTTGCTGAGACAACTGAAGTTTGCAGATATTGCTTTTTCTGTGTATTGAATTAGTTGAGCTCTATAATGTACTTAACTATAAACAGAAAAAGGGAAAAAAATAACAAAAAGAATAAAAGGCAATATCCTGTTGTACTCATGTCTGTTTGTGCACACATGCACAAGAGAGAGAGAGAGAGAGAGAGAGAGAGAGAGGATAACTATAAAGAATGATTGACGATGGAGGAAATTTAGCTAAAAGAAATATATAAAACTTGTATAGAAATATATAAAAAGTGTATGGCAATAATATGTGAAATATGTATATTCTAACTTTTTTGGCATTATTTGATCATTAACAAACGCCCACTTGGCAATCATTAGCAAGACCCCTAAATTGACACTTGGACAATGGTGTGGGATATATGCGTCCGATCTTCATGCATATTTATATTAACACTATCATTATATATACATATTGTTCTATAATTACTATAAAATGAGTAGAATACCTTTTTCATATTGTCTGTTACATATCACACCATTTTATCTCACATAAACAATTAAAAATATAACCTTTTCAGTCTAGTCTGTGTAATCTAAAATTTGAAGTTTGATGAGTCCGACATCTATATACACACCCAATACCCGTACTTGAGTTCATTTAAGGCTCAAAGTGGACTAACATACTAAGGTCTCGTAGAACCTATGTGCAATGCACAACATAAGGTGAGGGCCTGAGTACAATGTATGTGTGATGGGCATGTATATTAGATATACTAGCAACAAAAAAAGGTGAATTTTTTCGGCAAATCAACCAAAAGATTTAGGAAATCAATATAAAAGTTTATCTTTTCAATCGGTATATGCATCAACTAGATCAAACATCCATTGCAAATTCGCACTAATTAAAAGCCTAGTTGGTTAATCATTAGAGATCTATTTCAAACAGTCAAACATAAGTTCATAAATCTAGAATGCAAAATACCATAAATGATTAATGCTATTATCTATCTACAAGACCGTGAATTTTGGTATAAGACATGTCTATTAGTGACCTTGAAAAATAAAAAGATAAAGATAAAGATGTGATTGGATCATTAAAAAGAACGAATAAACCCTTTCCCTCTGTCACATGAACTCTTCTAAATATGCGAAGTGCCTATGTCGGATACTCCGCATTTGGATAGGGGTATGTGATATGTGTTTGACATGACCTCCCCTAAAGTTTAGAGAAAATACACAAGCAGCTCCAAAGTTTTGGCATAATTACGCCGACCTCCCTTTTGGTAAAGATAAATGGACTTAAACTAAAGTGGATGGTATGCAAACACATTAATAAATAAAATACATTTTTAATAGATGACCATATCATTTTCCCATCCATATGACCAACAAATTATTGATTTTGTTATTGATGAAACGGTTACTAATGCTGTGTTTAGTTGGAGGATTTGAAGAGCGATTTGTAAAGGGAAATGGAAGAGGTAGGTGAAATGTGAATAAAATATACTTACATTTCACTTAATTTCACACACCTTTTCCTTTTCCCTTTCCCTTTCCCTTTCCCTTTCCCAATCCCTCCCCAAATCCACCAACTAAGCACAACATAATTGTCAAGTGAATTAAAGTATTAAGGTTGTGTTTGATTGGAGAATTTGATGATGGAAATGGAAAGGAAAAAGGATATGCAAACCCACTTTTTGTTTGGTTATAATGACAAACACAAGGAAAAAGAAAGTGAGAGGGAAATGCAATCCAACTTTTTGTTTGGTTATAATGGAAAACACATGGGAAAAGAAAGTGAGAGGGAAATGCAATCCCACATTTTCTGACCAAACCCCTCCATCCAAACGAAGTGTTAGACTATGTTCTTTCTCCATTTCCCAACTCAACCAAACATAACTTGGAATTCGAATCCTATCAATTATTTCTCCTTTTCTTTCTATTTCCATTCCTCTCATCAAATCCTCCAACCAAACAAAGCCTAAGGAACTCGATGAAATTGTGTCAAAGCTTTGGAGCTTACTGCATTTTCTCCAAACCTCAGGAAAGACAGTGCAATTTACCCTTACTAATTTGATAACTCCCCTGTACTAGTTTGGAATGAACTTTTCAAAAGGCAATTAAACAGTTATTAAACTCAATACTACCCCAAAGATATAATAAACAGCTATTGAAATCAAACGAAAGAAATATTACTTCAGCAATAATCATCTGAAACAAAAATAAAAAATAATTTTTTTTTTTATAGCAAGTCAGTTGTTTTTCAAAACAATAACAACCTTCCAAAGCAAGAAATTATGCCGAAACTGTAAAAAATTAAGAAAGGGAAGTTTGAACCCTCTCATTTACTAGAAAGTTCGAGGCATCAGGAAACAAATTGAAAAAGCGTCGAAGAATAATGAAGATGGATCAAATCATCAAATATTATTATTCAAGAGAAACATAACATGCAGTTGATTCAATCTGATGATTACCAAATACAAGTGTGTTGCTTCTGGGGGATTGTCAATGCGACCTCCGACGAACCATCTTCTGCTCTTCTCTCTCTGTACGTTAGGGCTTTGTTCTCACTTCTGTTTAGAGTTATGTTTTTATATTTTATAAAAATACACTTTGAACCCACTAAAAGTTCTCAATTGTTTTTGACCCCAACATTGTTATTTTTAAAAATTATTAGAACAACCTCCAATGATTCATCAAATAGATCATCAAATTTAAATTTGACAAAAAAATTTACTTTTTACTGTTCTAACCGTTCATCAAATAGATCATCAAATCCAGAATTTTTCAAATATTTCATCAAAACTGTCACGACTCAACCCCATGGGCTTAGGGTTATAATCGCAATTTACTAACTTATTTTATTCGTAGCAAAGTAAACCACGCAGGCGAAAATAAAAATAATTAAACAGAAAATTATTTCATTTTACTATTTTAATAAGAGAAAATACATCTATACGGCTTTTATTATTTTATTATTTAGTGACCAGCCCTGAATAGAAACAAAAAGGAGCAAAAATATTTATAAAAAAAAAGAAAAAAAAAAGACAAAATAGTGGTTTAATATCAATCCTCGTGCGGATTTCATTACGTGAGATTATGGGTTCCCTTACATCTTGTCACCTGAAAGGGTAACAGCTATAAGTATACAACAGAGTGAGAAATATTATACCAAGAGTATTGGGAATACAAAATAACCATGGATAGTTAATTAAGCCAAAACATTTACATAACTCAATTTGATAAATAAATCATTTAAGTGACAGAAATTAAAATACAGAAATTATGTAAATAAATAACCATAACCACGATACAAAACAGAGGCTACAGAAAGTGACAATTATAACAAAGGTCAATGGATCTATAACGAACAGATGACCACAAAGTGGCCAAACAAAGGCCAATGGTTATTTAAGTCCCCAAGGCGTAGAACTCCTGTCGTGGTACTTACAAAACGTAATTATTTATAAGGTTATAGTCAAATATTCTTTAAAATTTAACCAAACATAACCATGGGTTTTATTTTAAACAAATATAGTTAAGAAATCCACGTAATTGAAATATTTTATAAAACATAACTTGAATTAATATAACTCATAAAATATAACTTGTATAAAATAAATTATGGTAAGTCAAAACATACATAAAATATATTATGGTAACTCCAGGTATAATATAACTCACCTTGAGATTGAGTCTTACTAATTCATTTATATTTTTGTTGGTTTTTGGCTCCTTCCTTTTTCGCCGATCTCCTGTCTATTTTTTTTTTCTTTTCTTTATTTGTTTTCACGTTGGCTAGCTTCACCACTTTTCGCTTATTTATATGCACATGTTGGGTGATGACTCACCCTTTTATTAATAACCGTAATGCTAACTCACCCCTCCCCCTTACATTTAGACATACAGATGGGACTTTCTCATCTTCTAACCATATTTGCATATCCTTATAATTAAAACAAATCTCCGTAAATCCTACTAACAAATCTTCCTAATTTATTACTTGATTTATTTAACTAAATCTATACATTCTAATCTTTTCACACTAATTAGTGATTAATTTAGCCCTCAAATAAATGTCCTTATCATATATTTAATAACCATAATGACAAATTAATTTACATGTAGCTTTCATTATTATTATTACTATTGCTTATTATTATTATCATTATTATTCTTACTTCTAACCATATTTGCATATCCTTATAATTAAAACAAATCTCCGTAAATCCTACTAACAAATCTTCCTAATTTATTACTTGATTTATTTAACTAAATCTATACATTCTAATCTTTTCACACTAATTAGTGATTAATTTAGCCCTCAAATAAATTTCCTCATCATATATTTAATAACCATAATGACAAATTAATTTACATGTAGCTTTCATTATTATTATTACTATTGCCTATTATTATTATCATTATTATTCTTATTCTATACATTTATTTTATTATTATTGTTATTAGTATTTGTTTATTGTTTTAATAATATTTATCACATATAACCACAATTATGTATATAACTAAAAATATTTATGTGGTATTTAATTAAATGTTCAGGGTCTTACATTTCTCCCTTCCTAAATAGAAGTTTGTCCCAAACTTGACGTATCTTAATTTTTAAAGAGGTGTGGGTATTTGGCTCGCATTTGACTTTCTGTTTCCTACGTACTTTCTTCGATACGATGATTTCACCATAAGACCTTTACCAGTAGTATGGTCTTGTTTCGGAGAACTTAATTACGACGATCGAAAATCTGCACTGGTTGCTCTTCATAAAGAGAGATCCTCTTGAACTTCCAGGTTCTCATAATCAACAACATGTTTTGGATCTCGAAGATACCATCGAAGCATTGAAACGTGAAACACATTGTAGACATTGGATACTTCAGGTGGTAGTGCAAGGCGATAGGTTACCGGACCAATCCTTTCTAGTATCTCGAATGGCCCGATGTAACGTGGATTTAATTTTTCTCACTTTCCAAATTGGATAACCCCTTTTGTTGGTGAGATCTTAAGGAACACATGATCCCCTACTTGAAATTCCAAGTCCCGTTTCCGTATATCTGCATAACTTTTCTGGCGGCTCTAAGTAGTGCAAATTCGTTGTTGGATGAGTTAGATTTTCTCACTTGTGACTTACACGATCCCTGGGCCTATCAGTTTCTAGTCCGGACTTCCGTCCAGTACAGAGGTGATCGACATCTCCTTCCATACAGAGCTTCGTACAGTGCCATTCCAATGTTTGCTTGGTAGCTGTTGTTAGAAGCGAATTCCACTAAAGGTAGGTGCTCATCCCAGTTACCTTTAAGGTCTAACGCGCATACATGTAACATGTCTTCCAACGTCTGGATTGTTCTTTCAGATTGCCCATCAGTTTGTGAGTGATAAGCAGTGCTAAACTTCAGTGTGGTTCCCAAAGCTTCTTACAATTTGTTCTAAAATTGAGACACGAAGCGGAGGTCTCGGTCAAACACGATTGAAACTAGGATACCATGCAAATAAATAATTTCCTTGATGTATAAAATGGCAAACTTATTAAGTGAGTACATGATTTTGATTGGTAGAAAATGCGTCGACTTCGTCAATCGGTCTACTATAACCCATATTACATCATTCTTCGAAAATGACTATGGTAGCTCGACCACGAAGTCTATAGTAATATGCTCCCATTTCCATTTAGGAATAAGGAGTGGTTACAGCAGTCCTGCAAGTCTCTGATATTCTGCTTTAAAACGCTGACAATGCAGACATTTGGAGACATGGCTTGCTATGTCTCTTTTCATTCATGTCCACCAGTAGTGTTCCTTCAAATCATGGTACATCTTTGTGTTGCCAGGGTAGACTACAAATCTCGAGTTATGAGCTTCTACCAATATCTTCTTCTTGAGTTCCGGGATGTCGGGTATGCAAATTCGATTTCGAAATTTCAGTATCCCATTGCTTATAGTGAAATCAAGATCAGGCGTATATACTTTTTCTTCAAAAGTTTATATTTCCATTGGCGCACTTTAATTTCTTCAATTAATGCAGGTTCCACAGTTATGATGGCGAGCAGTCCATTGATCTTGTGGGAAATTAGGGTACATGCCAAATCTCTGGTCGTCTTTCGGCTCAGGGTGTCTGCCACCACGTTAATGTCTAAAATATGACTTGCAAAAATTTAGATTTTTTAATATACATATTATTTGACACAAAATATTATCTATTTAAAATATATATATTTGTTAAATATTATTTAAATAAAAATATTTTTGAAAACTCTACTATTCATTTTTTGAAAATTTAGACTGATCACTATTCACTTTTTGACAAAATTAAAATTGATTAATTATATTATTTTGACAAAATTGATTGATTAGTTGTATTATTTTGACAAATGTGATATTGATGAGTTGTCTTCTTTTGACAAAAGTGATATATTCAAATAAAGTGGTAGGTTATGTTTAATTGAAAATCTCTATAAAAATTTAAAAAGGGTATGATCAGATCTATTATAAATATTACTTAAAGGGATTTTACTATATATGCAAATATTTGATTAGTATATTATATAGAATGCATATAATATAAATAGAATACATCACGTGAGCAATTAAATTTTTTACACTACATTGATTATATCATATCACACTACACTATATTGATTATATATATTATAATAAAACAAGATGGAACAAATTATTTGCTTGTTTGAAAGTTGTGAATTTTGTATTAAATTATCTACAAAAACTGTGGCTCCATGTTTGGAAAAACAAAAAAAGAAAAAGAAAAAAATTAGTATTCCTTTTATCTTTTTAATTATTAACATTTGCTGACTATTTAAAATCAAGAAGCGTGTTTATGTAAGTCATAATGTCAGCAGCGTGCTTATGTAAGCCATGACGTTAGCAAGGAGCGTCCTACTTCCAACGAGTATATTTTTGTGTATAAATAGAAGTGTTGTGTGTAGAGAAAAATCAAGAACTTGTAAAGAAAAATTTATGTATGCTCAAAAATTTTGAATATATTGTATTATGCTCTTTCACTTTCAGATATAAGTGTAGCCTTTATTCTTACACTTTCATATCTATTCTTTGTGAGAGAATTATTGTAAAAGAGAGTTTAAGTACCACTTATTTTTATTCATTATTTTTGTGAGAGATTTTGTAAGGGTAAGGCATTTATTGTTGAGTGAGGCTCAATAAATAAGAGTAAGTCCTGTGCCAAATCCACAAGCTTTGTGGTGTATTTATTCAATTGATAGTAAATAAATTCTCAAGGAGGTTCATTGGGGAGTGGACATAGGCCTGACGTGCCGAACCACTATAAATCTCAGTGTTTGATTTTCTCTCCCTATCTCTTTTACTTTTATATTGATAATTATTATTATGTTTTTTTAATTTGTTAAAATTCTGAATATTGTGTTAATTTTAATATTGTAAAATTTTTAATAATCCAATTCACCCCCCTCTTGGGTTGCTACCTGGGATAACAATTGGTATCAGAGCCTAGACTCTAGTTTGTGTGACTTAACCGTCTTAGAGTAGATCATGGCAACCCTTAATTATTCCTTACCTGAGGGACAAACATCCAATAGACCACCACTGTTTAGCGG